CCAGCCCGAGGGCATATTCATTAGAGTAGAAACCCATGAGCTGTTTTTCCAGCTTGAGGTCTCAGGCACACACAACTCAGATTGTCGGCAGGGCTGGAGGTAGAGATAGGAATGGAACGTAATCCGCCTGAGGAGGGTCTGCCTCTCTGATCTCCAGCCAGGGATGTGGGGGTGCATTAGTTCAGCAGACTAGGGTTGGCTTCTCAGACTACAGAAAAGAGTCACAGCCACTGTAAGACCAGGCTTCACACTGCTGGGATCAGGACATTACAGCCTGTCCTACGAGTGTACTGGGTAGAGGTCAGAGCCTTAACACTGGGAAAGCACCTTTGGCTACTGGCCCCAGAGCAGGGCACATTCTGGTTTGAAGATTGCAACCTCCTGCATCAGCTGAGACCCCAAGGTTGGGGGGGGGGTGTACTGTTTGTGCTAGTGTTCTAGAGTGATGCGGTGTGTGTTTTCTAGGGCACTCCCCAGACTTGGCTCCAGGCTTGTCCTGCCAAAGGATTTGTGGACCTTTGCAGTGAGTACAGAGGTTGGTGTGGATCCTCTGCCTACCTTTTCACCACAAGGGAAAATTCCTCCTGTGCTGACCCCTGTGTTGGAGACATAGTGCCCCTCTCCCCTCTCTATGCTACCATCCTGGATTTTTGTGCTCCACAGTGGTCTCAACAGTCTCCTTCTGTACTCCCACACTCTCCCACTGATGCACATGACAATTTTTAGCTGTCTGTTAGTTGTCCTAGTCCTTTCCTATGGGAGGAATGTGCCCTGGGCACCGCTACTCTGCCATCTTGTCCCCCACTATTTAAAAAACATTTTAGAGATAGCACATGCAGAGTCTCAGTGGTGCGGAAAAAGCAAGGGCTCTTCAAAGCTATGCTTGATGTGAGGCTACCTGAGCTAGGAAGCAAAGATAGAAGTGGGAAAGACTGGACAATCAGAGGGAACCTTGACTTTACAGGCCAAGTAAGGATTTAGATTTTGATCCTAAAGACAGTGAGGAAGTATACAATATTCTCGTTGACCTCCCAGGCCTATGTAAGGGATCATCATCTCTCAATCCCTGAAAGCCTTCTACCCCACAGTTGGAGCTAGGAAGCTATGGCATATGGTAAGCGTTCAATAAATGTTCACTGGATCCATGAATAAAGAATGAGTAAAACACATATGGACAGTTTTGGAATTTTTTCCATTGTATGCTAGCATGATTTTGTCACTTCTAAGAATTCCTCCTTGCATATATCCTTTCTAAACCTAATCCTATTTGCTCTTGGCTATGTCTTCACTTACAATTAGCATACAGCACTGGAAATAAAGAACTAGATATATGCAACAACCATGAAAAGTAAGTCGATTCCAGCCCAATCTTTTTATGCCGTAACAACCATTTCCTTCTAGTAATGGCAAATTTAACAAGGTACATCACTAACTCAAGTGATGAAGGTTCTTGCCATAATCATGATAGATTATTGTGTTAAACTTCATTAACTTAGGTGATTGAGGAAGAGTGATTTGGAATTCACAAGATGAGTGAAAAGAGACCTGTTCTGGCTTGTTTAGAATAAGAAATACTTGTACATCCTTCTTGGGTTCATGCATAAGGTATAGCAGAAACCAAATGCTAACCAGAGGTTAAAGCAAAAGCTTTATTTTGATTTTTTTTTTTTTACAAACTGATAGTATGGCCTCATTTAAACAAGATAAAATGATAAACATAATTTGAGTTGATCCCCTCACCATTCAGTAATAAGTAGGACACATGTCCAGAGAGGGACGTCAGCAAGATGGTGACTAGAGGTGCCTGGCACTCATCCCCCACCCCCAATAAAAAAAGGACCCAAACAACAAGTAAAAAACTAAAATTCTGTGGAGCACAGAAGCCCAGGATGGCAGCACAGAAAGGGTAGTGAGGCATACTGCCTCTGCCACCAAGTCTCCCCGATAAGAATCAGCTTGAAGCCAGGAGGAACTTCCCCTTGAGGGCAAAAGTTAAGCAAAAGGCTCCCACTAGACCCCCTTCCCCTGCAGACACCAGCAATCCTCACTACAGGAGAATCGCACATCCTCACAAGTCCTGGGCCCAGTAAGTGGAGCTGCCTGGACTTCATGCATTATTTCAGAAGGATAGAAGGGGAAAGGCATAAAAAACCTATTTGATGAAATAATAGCTGAAAACTTCCCAAGTCTTCAGAGAGACATGGACATCCAGATCCAAAAACCCTAAAGATCCCCAACTATATTCAACCCAAAAATGTCCTCTTCTGGGCATGTTATAGTCAAAACTGTCAGAAGTCAAAGACAAAGAGAGAATTCTAAAAACAGCAAGAGAAAAATTTCACATCACAAATAAGAAAACCCCCATTAGACTAACAGATTTCTCAGCAGAAACCTTACAGGTCAGGAGAGAATGAGATGATATAGTCAAAGAACTAAAACATAAAAACTTCCAGCCAAGATACTATACTTCAAGTCTTTCTCAAACAGTTAAAACTGAGTGATTCACCACCACCAGACTGGCCTTATAAAAAATGCTTAAGGGAGTCCTATATCTGGAAGCAAAAGGATCACCATGAAACACATGAAAGTATAAAGTTCACTGGCAGAGCAGATACACAAATGAGAAAGAGAAACTAATCACATATCACTATAGAAAACCACCAAGCAGCAAACATAAACAATAAGAGAGGAAGAAACAATAAAATGATCAGAGATCAGTTTACAAAATGAAAATAATAAGCCAAAGTAATCCTGATCAAAAAGAATAAAGCAGGACACATCAGACTATTTGACTTCAAAATATGCTACAAAGCTACATAAACCAAGACAGCTTGGTACTGGCATAAAAATAAACATATAGACTAATGGAATAGAGAGCCCAGAAATAAAACCACATATTTTTGACAAAGATGCCAAAAACATACATTGGAAAAAAGATCGTCTCTTCAATAAATGGTGCTGGGAAAACTGAATATTCATATGCAGAAGACTGAAACTAGACCCTCATCTCTCACCATATACAAAAATCAACTCAAAATAGATTGAAGACTTAAATATAAGACCCAAAACTATAGAAATACTAGAAGAAAACAGGAGAAATGCTTCAGGACATTGGTCCGGTCAAGTATGTTATGAATAAGACCTCAAAAGCACAAGCAAAAATAGACAAATGGGGTTATATCAAACTAAAAAGCTCCTGCACTGCAAAGGAAACAATCAACAGAGTGAAGAGTCAAACTGCAGAATGGGAGAAAATATTTGCAAACTATTCATCAGACCAGGGATTAACATCCACAGTATACAAGGAAGTCAAACAACTCAACAACAACAACAAAAAATTAATTAAAAGATGGCCAAATGATCAGAATAGACATTTCTCAAAAGAAGATATATAATTGACTGACAAGTATGTGAAAAGCTCAATGTCACTAATTATCAGGGGAAAGCAAATCAAAACCACAATGAGATATCATCTCACCCCAGTTAGAATGGCTACCATCAAAAAGACAAAATAATAAATGCTGGCAAAGATGTGGAGAGAAAAGAACGCTCATATACTGTTAGTGGGAGTATAAATTAGTACAGTCATTACGGAGGTTCCTCAAAAAACTAAAAATAGAACTACCATAACATCCATCAATCCCACTGCTGGGTCTATATCCAAAGGAAAGAAAATCAGTATATATCAGAGAGGCATCTGCACTCCCATGTTTACTGTAGTACATATCGCAATAGTCAAAATGTGGAATCACCAAAGTGTCCATCAACAAATGAATTGATGAAGAAAATGTGGTCTATACAAGGGTACTTCAAAAAGTTCACGGAAAAATAGAATTAAAGATAATATGAATCTCCCCACAAACTTTTGAAAACCCCTCATGGACACAATTGAATATTATTCAGCCCTAAAAAAAGAATGAAATCCTATCATTAGTGGCAATATGGATGATCCTGGAGGACATTATGTTAAGTGAAATAAGCCAGTCTAACAAAGATAAATACCACATGATCTCACTCATATGTGGAAGCTAAACAAAGTTGAACTCATAGAATTAGACAGAAGAATAGTAGATACTAGAGGCTGGGAATGATCAGGGGAAGGAGAAGTCGGGAGAGGTTAATTAACAGATACAAATTACAGCTAGATAACAGAAACAATTTCTAGTGTTCACTGTGGGGTGACTATATAAATCATTAGCAATTTATTGTATATTTTCAAATAGCTAGAAGAGAGGATTTGCAATGTTCCCAACACAAAGAACTGATAAATGTTTAAGGTGATGGATATATGAATTAACCTAATTTGATCATTACACATTGTATACAAGTATCAAAATATCACACCACACCCCATAAATATGCACAATTTTTGGATCAATTATAAATAAAATAAATTTTAGAAATAATAACAGGTGGGAATGCATGAATAAAACCTACTGAAAACACTTACACTATAAATTTACTTTTTTAATGCAATCAAACAAAATTATAATACAAGGTAATCAATACCATGTGGCAACTGGATATTTATTAGTGTCATGATAATGACATCTTCGTATATACAGGAATTTTTTGATGATGGAGATGCTCATCTCCAAAATAAGTAAGCAAGATGAAGTTGAACACAAATAACTAAACACTCCAGTCCTCAGTGAACTAAAAAAGTATCAAATGCTCCAGCTTCCATGCCAATGCTGGGATATTTCTGTAGCATAATGCTTTCCAATTAGCATAAAAACTTTTCATTCTAGTAGAATATAATCAGGAGAATTAAATAATACTCATTTATTTCTGAAGTTCAAACAAATGTACATAAATTTTCTTAGAGATATAGAGAAAGACTTTTTTTTGTTTTTATATTTCCTAAGCAACTCTATATTGTACAAAGTTTATAGATTGATAAAGCAGGAGAGAAAATTATACTAAAGTCCTGTGAAGTGAATAAACTCTCACCAGGACTAAAATACATTCCATTTCAACACAACAGTTGTGCGGCTTACCAAAGAGGCCATGGTGAATCCAATGACTTCGATATAGCCATCGTCATGACGCTGAGGTTCAAAATCATGGTGATCTCCTGGGTTTCCCCAGGGCATTGTGCCAGCACAATATCTGAAAAGTAACATTAGAGACAATTAAAGACAGTCCATTTTTCTCATGATTATCATTAAGGATTAATTTATAGTTAGACCCAATGTTTATTTAATACAAGAATAGTTTTCTGTTACAACAGAAAAGAAAATGGACTTATTATCCCTAAAACATCGACCTGTAAAAATGGGCCATAATTTTACAAAAAAAGCATCCTCTTGCACTCAACTTTCTCCTGATTTATTATTTATCAACATTTCTCACTCTATAATTTTTATACATCTGTTTTCTATAATTTAGCATGAGTTATCTATAGGTGGTTTCAGGATTTGGTCTTGGGTGAAGACATATTATGCCAGTAAAAGAGTGAAAGGGAACTGGGGTGGGCAGCATTTACCATTAGATACATAATTAAGACAAGTAGTATCCACAGGAGTAGGGAAAGGCAATCAAAAAGAGATTAGAAAGAAAAGGGGAAATAAAGGAAATTTTTAAAGTAGAGAAAGGAGGATCCAAAGGTGGGGAGAAGAAGAGAAAGGAAAAAGAAAAGAAATAAAATAAAGAAAGCTAACAACGTTTTCTGAGAATCTAGCCCTTCTTAAACTAAGCTGAAAATACTTCTGGAATAAGATTGTAACTGACTATACTGAGTACTGCCAAGAATAATCAGGAGACTATGATATGCTTTCCTAGCCACAGATTTAAATACAACTCTCATTTCAATTAAATTCAGTCTAAACAGAACTGATTTGCAGAGTTTATATGTAAGCTGTTTAGTTGGGCAAATAAGAAAGGATTACAGATCTACCCCTTCCAAAATCTTGGCTTGGAAGCCTAGAATCTAATTTTATGCCACTGAGATAATGTGCTTATTTTGAATCTAGTTCATCTTTAATATCCCTTTCTCCTGAGGTATATAATAGCACTAAAGAGAGTTGACAACCTGGCTGGAAAATGCTACTCTAACTGATCCTATTTTTTCCAAAGCAATAAATCTGGCAATGATTTTGAATAAATTCCATATTCAAATCAGGCTGGATGGTTTCCAAACAATGTTTGGGAAACTGAAAACAGGGATTTATTCAAATCTATCATTCTTAGAGGCAGGAGGTGAGGGGAGAAAAGAACAGTACTGTAATTGAGAATTAAATAAAAATGTTCCAATCAAGAAAGCTGCTGGGTTTCTTAAAAACGGGTAAGTGTAGACCATGCATGCCATATCACACACAAAACCACCTACCACAGAGAACACTAAATAAACCAAATAGGAGAACAAAATGATCAGACCGGGCATCCTTTAGAAAGTCACTAACACAACTTATTTTCACTGTCTATACCTGAAATGTTTTTGTTATGAAAACAGGTAACTTCACATCAGAGTTCACATCAAACCAAAGAAACAATGTGAACAGAGCTTACCTGGGTATATTCAAAAATACTATACACTGGAACTTCAGTTCCTGAATCTTTGGGGTGAGATCTGTTCCATCACACTGCAACAATCGAAAACAGCAAAGGTTGTGAAGTAGTCATGAGTCTAAAATTATTTTCACAGACAACTGGGTTAACAATAGTTCATACCATGGTCTATTCTGCCCCTAACTCTGCTGAAGTGAGTGCCAGTTACTACAACTGAAAATTTATTCTGATTATAGCTTTACTAGACCCAGGCTTTAGAGCTCGGTTGTGTTTTGATTTAATGCAAAAACAAAGCTGCCATTTGGCCAAAATTTTTTTTCTCTGGTCTCACAATCAAAGAAAATACTATCACTCTTAACCTTTTATCATTATTAGATATTTAGGCTCACAGTATCAACATTAAAATATTTATGAACACTTGAAAGAATGAAAAGAATGACGCCCAAGCTAAGGCAGTCATCTGATTCAAATTATGGTCATAATGTAAGCATTTATTTTCTTTGCTTTTCAAGTAAATTTTTATTTTGAAAATGTTTAACTTGCTTTGAATACTTCTTAAAAGGTACATATACTTCAGACTTAAAAAAATATATATCTATTATAAATTACTATTGTCTCTATTAGTGATTTGTGCTTACAAATTTCATCCCTTACAGACTTTGGGCTTCTCTGACTTAGCAGAGTCTGGACACGGCCCTGGGTCTCGAGGGCCTCAGCCCAGGTGGGCCTCAATACCTTTGAACGTGGCTTCCACGTACAAAGTGATTAGTGCTGTCCTCAGGACTATTATCCTCTGACGAATCAAAGAAAAGATTTTCATTTCCTATTCTCCTTTCCCACTGGTGACAAAAGTCCAAAGAGAAAAACTCTAGTCACGATACAGACTTCTCAGTGTCAAAGGTAGAAAGCCTGTTTTATATCTGCTTTCCTCGTACGCTCATCACAGAATTTTTCCATTATTTCTCTTTTAGAGTAAGGAGGAAAGCATTTGCAAGCTCCCTGCCAATTTCTGAAGGTTTCTTTGAGAGAAGTTTCAATCTAAGCACAATGATTTTGCTAGCAGTCACAGTTGTCTCTAAGCACCAACATTCTTTACCCGGCTGATCTTAACACAGCCTAAGTTTTATGAGCATTCTCAAAAATTGTTTCCAGGAAATCTTACAGTCCTAAATGAACAAAACACTTTGTTATGTAATTTAGTTAGGAATCAAATTCTAGACATTGATTGAAGTTGTTTTTACAGTACTCTCAGCTACTGAGCAAACATGGAGTCTCCCAATTTATGTAAGGACTTGAAATGAGTTTATAAATGACTACACCAATGAAGAAAACAATGTAGATGTTTTAAATGATCAAAATTGAGTGTTTTAAGAAATTAAAACTTCCAAAAAATAGGATGTGATACATTAAATAGCAGGCAAAGCAGTATTGCTGCATTATAGAAAAAATCTATAATAAGTATTGTATTTAGAACAGAATTCATTCTTAAATTTTCTTATTTTTCTTCCTGGGAAACATGTCAGTGACTTAGGAAACTCAAATTATATAAAGATGAGCACCTTACAATGTATATGCTTTACAAAGTGTTCTTACATTTTACTGCATTAAACTGTACAATTCCTTAGAACAGCAGTTTTCAAATTTTTCCCTACTTCAAACACACCTAAAGGAAAATATTTGCATTCAAAATATGTACAAACTTATATACTGATAAAACAAATAACAAGAAGAAAATATGGAAAGTAGAGCAAATAATGCTGTATGTAGGATTTTGTTATTGTTCTGTGTTTTCTTGGCCTAGTATTCGTATGCATATTTACCTCTATATAAACAGAGATTATTACCTATTACACCCAAAACACTGACTCTACCCTACAGAAAAGATAAGATGGTCTGTTGTTGTTGTTGTGTGTGTGTGTGTGTGTGTGTGTGTGTGTGTATATATATATAAAATCACTCTAGCTAACCTTCCAATCTTTTCCTCTCAAACTCAAGAACACAAATAGTGATGTCATTATAGAAATATCCTTTTGTCCCCCTGTGTCACAGCACAGTGGTCAAAAACTGTTGCTTCAAAGACATGTCTTGTTATGCCAGTTATACGGAGGAGGAATGCAAACTCTTCTGGAAGGTTAAATAATTTCCCCAAAGTCATATACCTAGTAAAGGCCAACCTAAGAATGAATCCCAAATTGTTCACACTTAGTTTCTAATGTTTTATTTTTCTCCTCCTAAGGTATAATTACATAAATATTCTACCTGGAATAGTACATGTATTGGCTGATATCAAATCTTTCCTAGTTATTTGCTGCCATTTTGGCCTCTCAGCAAGCTTCTTTTAATCTCTGCTATAGCCACCCATGTCCTATCAAGAAAACTGCCAGCTATGAGAGAGAAACTTTCCCATGGTTACGAAGTATATAGAGTTTAATTTCATCTGGCTGCTTAGCAGTGTGCTGACATTCAATACAGCCACTGCCCAGCACTCAGTGGCTCTCTTGGCAGGACTGATCTTCCCTTAAATGAAAAATACTGAAAGAGGTGGTCAAGTTTATTTTTGGTTGGGTTGCAAGCAGCTGAAGAAACAGGCGAAGCTGGTGTTAAGACTGCTTCTACTTAAATTTAATAATCATAATTTTATCAAAATAAAGATCTTCACAGCTCAATGGACCATGCGTCTTTCATGTGCCTAGCTTTAAGATGGCAGTATTTCAGTTTTCAAGAGTCTTTACCACTAAGAGTTATTTGCTTTTCACTGTTATTATATGAAAACTGAAACATCAGAAAGTGATGCCAAGGGTTGTTATGCCAATGGTGACAGCCTTTGTCTCCTGTTTCAACTGGTTTAGGAGATTTGTGTCTCATAGATATACTGGTGATTACAAATTTTAATTTTTATTCTCTTATGCTCCTCCATATTCCTCTATATTCCCATTAGTGTAAGATGATATGTTTTTCTCTATTTTCATGTATATATTTCATTCTGACCCCTCTTGTCACATACTCTTATTCTCTGCCTATGCCAGGATAAATTTGAGCATGGCTATATTCCCATTCCTTTTTGTCTATTCACATATTTTTCCTTCTGACTTTCTTTTTCATGTTCATCTGTGCACAACAAGGTCATGTTCTTCCCTTCTTTTAACTTGGTTACTATAAGGAGTGATGTCTTTTTAATAACTAATTATATCCTATTTTAGAATGTATCACCTAGAGAAAGATAAATTTCTCTCTCCTTTTACCTCCAAGCCATTTATGTCCAAAGCCAGGGACAGAGACCCAGGAAGAAATAGCACATAAAATCCATTCAGTGGTGAGCAACCCTGACCAAGCTGGAGAGAGTCACCACAAAGTAAAGAAATCAATGCATTGTTCTCACATGGAGACTTCTCAGACAGCCCTGGAATAAAGACACTTGTTTGGTAAGCATCTGTTTATACTTCAAGATCTAACTAACCTCATTTCTTTGATGAAGGTCTACATGACCCCACCACAGTCTCAGTTGTCACTTCTTCCTTTGTGTCATCACCATATTTTGTGCATAGTGGAATAGCATTTATATCATTCTGCAGGGATTTATGTGCCCTTCTCCACGACCAAACTGTGAGTTTCATCAGGAGTAAAACCAGTCTTTCTAATCATCTTCATCCCAAGCAGTAAAGACATATCCGACACATAGTAAGTGTTCATAAATGCTGGCTGAATGAACTACACTAAATGATCTCTAAAGTTCTATATAGTCCAGTGATAAAAATGTAAACTGGTAGTTTGGAGTTTATTTTTTGTAGCACTCATATTCAAATGAAATCAATCAACATATTCAATACTTACAACAACTTTAACATGTTTGGAAAGATCTCTGGAACTTCTTTGCAGGAAATCAGAAAAAGCAGCCTATACCACAGGGAAATAAAGAAAGAAAATATCTATAATTACATGGTTAAGCCAAACCCTTGCTTTCACATTATAAATAGTTCTCAGTGACTCCAAATGATGCAAAAATATAAACAAGCTCTCCTTTTGCTGGACTGAAAGTAAGGCATGCAGTGGCTGTCAAGTTGAACTCTTTCTCTGTTTCCAAACTATAATCTGTAATAAAATTTAAGAGCACAGAAGGAGAGTGGAAAAGTGGATCATTCAAGGATCACTTTGGAGACTTATTCTGATCACCTTTCCTGACCATCCTCTTGTCCACTCGGTGCTGAAATGATCTTTAACTTGCCACTGAGAACAACGTCTCACTTCACCCCCCTTTCATTTCAACTCCCCCTATCCAGTGGCATAAATTTACATCACACTTTCTTTATCCACATTTTAGATGCCTTTTTTTTTCCTTCTCTAGTTACCCTTAGGGATGTCCCTGAGGAAGAAAAGAAGAAGAAAAAGGGGGTCCTTTTAATCTCATATATGTTTCCGTGAAAAATTTCCCATGTTCGGCCAATTTCTCACCCAAATGACAACGTGCACATATCCCGGTGAAAACTATATTCTTACCTAAGATTTTCCATACATCTTTCAGCCTACCTAATCTCCCCATTCCTTGCAGTGGCTTTGATGTTTGTTTTTCACATCATTCTGTGAATATCATCCTTTCTTGTGCAACATGAAGCCTCAGGACGTTAAAGTTCAAAGAGGATGAACACCAATTCTCTTCTGACAACTAGTTTAGGAAATACACCTTACTTTCATTCTTAAACCAAGATGTTAAACATTAGCAACATCGAGACATACACAGAAGCGTCTGAGATGTGTGTAATTATTGTTAAAGTAGTTAGCATCTTTATTATTCAGTGAATTAGTATTAAATAACATGTAACAATTATACAATGAAATATATACTTACCCCCGCATAGAACATTTTATTCCGAAAACGACTGTTGAATTTCTCTGGATTTGCTTCTGTGAAAGAAGAAAGGTAGTTTCATTATAGTGACCTCATTAACGGTGGTGACTTAGACTAGCTCCCCTACTTCCTTCCCCACTCCCTTCCCACTCTACAGATACAATAAATCCAACAGCTTTGTTGTCATCTTTCCCTTAGCTCCAGGCCAGTGGGTACAGTGGCCTAGTGCTACAGGTACAATTGCCCAGTGCTAAAAAAAAGTATAGTTCCAAACTAACAGCATTGGAGTTAAATGGGAGATTTTTTTGAAATGCAAATTATTAGGCACTATCCCAGACCTACTGAATTAGAATGTCTGGGTGTGGGGCCCAGAAATAGGTGGTTTAACCAGATTTGCAGGTGATTCACATGCACATTAAATGTTAAGACACTGGATTCTTTTTTTAAAATAAGAGGGATGGCTGGGACATGGGCAAGGATGAGAGGGGAAGGAGGAAGGAAGTATAAAGATGATTATTTGCTTTGACCTCCATAAACTATGTGTGCAGCTTCCAACTGTATTTAAATATGGGCAATTTGGACAAAAATTAATGAGTAATTTGCTTTCACATTTTGCAAAAACTCCAAACTACCATCTGCTTTCTTGCTTGTAACAGGCCTTGAAAAATCATTTTGTTTAATGGAGAATACACACACACACACACACACACACACACACACACACACAGATGGCCTACTGAATGGACTCAGGGCATATTACAGTAAAGGCTCTGTCTGAAAAATGGTTTAATTTTGAGTTTGCTCCCATATGTTACGTAGGTTGAAGACCCAAAAAGATGAAACAAGAATCAACATCTGAGAATTTTCATATGAACTCAAGAGATTATAAAATCCCTAAAATATTATTTCCTCAAATGTTTCTTTTCTAATAAAATTTCAAAACATTCAAAAAGAACCTACTGTATACACTTAGCCTTCTGCTATTTTATCCCATATGCCAATTAATTTCTTCTTAGGCTAGGGCTTTCCCCAAGCCATTTTCCAAGCTGGCTACTAAGCTGAAAGTCTCCAAGCCCTAACCCTTTTTTCAAATAGCAATTCCCTACAATTGTTGTCTACTTGAAGAAAAGCAGCAGAGTTCACTCACAAAATCTGGGAAGAACAAAAGCTACAGGACCTCAAGAAATAATCCTGGACAAATGACTATTAGATTATTCTCATGAATATTAGAACATAATATTAGCACATGACATGGAAATTGGGTAAAGGACTGCAAACTTAAAAAAAAAAAGGTAGTGTTTTTGTAGATTGGCTCTTGAGAGCTATCTACTTACAGTTTCTATATTACAAAATTTCTCCTTAACTATTCACTGTGTTCTACCAAATTAAGTACCCTAACCCTAGAAACAAAATAAAACAGAAGGTAAAAGGTTAATTTATAGGGTATAGTAAACAAAAAGAAGATAAAAATGGTATAAATTGCTCTACCTCCCTGATCTCCCATTCCTGGCCCCAGAGTTGATCATTTCACAGCCGAGGTCTTCTCCAGAAAAAATGTGGCTGCAGAATGACATGTTGTATCTGACATTTTTTGAACCAGATTAGACTGGGTACCATTTTCAGTTGTGTTAACTTTTTTGCTTTACAAAACCAGAAGCAAAATGAGAATCTCTTCTGCTATGCAATTTATCATAAGTACATAGGTCTTAAATTAAAAAAAATAAAAAAAATCAGATCCAGCCATCAAGCAAGTTACAAGAAATGGAAAATGGCAGCCCTGGTCTGGCACAGAAGATTTTCTGGGCATTAACATCCACAGATATTAAGGGAATCATATATCAACTATTAACATTTACATTTTTTATAATTTATGTTTTAGGAGATACATCTTTATGAAATTTTCCTAGGAGCCTTGAAGAATTACAAAAGTTTTTTTGGTAAGAAATAAACTATATTTTCTCTCAAGAGATAGGCTATTTTCTGTAATACTCAAAAAGACTAGAGTAAAATTAAGAAATAAATTGAGTTTCTGGTGATTTTCACACACACTGTTGATAAAAACATCTCAGATGTAATTTAACTAGATAAAATTCAATGAAACAGGTTAAACTAAAAAACAGAGATCAAAACACTAACATTCAGAGAGGTGTCAGAAAGACAGAGATGTAGGGGAGTCACACATATGCTTTGGCTTTGAGGACAGAAAGGGTGTAAGGGAAATCCTGTTAGTACCTGAAGAAGAAACCTATATGTTATGCTATTAATTTCCAGATTGAGGCTGCTTTGGCAACTGGACCCTTTTCCCATTTTTATATCTACACTATTCCAAAAGAATTCAGAAACAAAGGTTGGCTGGAACTAAGAGAGAGATGCCGGCTTAGTGCTGGAACTTCATCAATTCCAGCAGAAGCCAGGCCGTAAGAAAGCAAGGGATAGCCCGCAAATAGCAGTACCCAGTCGTTCCCCATTGGCTGTTAAAAGGAAGAGACTGGATGGTTGACTGTGTCTATGTGTAATTACAGGAGTTGATGAGCTTTTGAAGAAGACCAAAGAGTGTGAGCTCTAACGATATCAAGAAAGGGGGGATAAACAATTGGGAAAGGGCCAGTGAGAAAGTTTGCTGGCTCTCATTCTTTCAGGGAATTGTGTCTGTTAATTGGTATAAGGTAAACCACAAAAGGCCACTCTTAGGAAAGGTTAAAGTACTCAAAATATCCCGAGACTCCAATAGCCGAAATATCCATGGCTCACTGCTCCCGTTGCTGGGTTGCCTGTTGTCCTCTTCCACAAGAAGAGGGTGGGAGACAGTGAAGTGCAAACACTCACTGTGCATGTCTGTGCCACTAGCCTATTTACGACCTACTGGGCACCAACAGTATCTTCACTAGTTTTCTATTCCTGCCATAACAAATCACTACAAACTTGGCAATTTAAAACAACATCCATTTACTTTCTTATAGTTGTGTAGGTCAAAAGTCTAGTTTGGGCTCTCCTGGGTCCTTGGCTTTGGGTCTCACAAGGCCCAGATCAAGGTGTCATCCTGCTGGGCTCTTATCGAGAGGTTCTGGGAAGAGTTCATTGCCAAGCTCATTCAGATTGTTGGACTGAAATTCTCTTTCCTGGCTGGCCACTGGCTGGGGTTATTCCCAACTTCTACAGACTGCCTGCATTCCCTGACTCCTGATCCCCCAAAATGGCACATCAAGCCCTTCTCACACTTTGACTCTGACTTCCTGTTCTGCTTTTCACTTCTGCTTTTAAGGGTTCATGTTATTACATCGGGCCCACCCAGATCTTTCACAATTATCTTCCTGTCTTAAAGCCAGCTGGTTATTAACCTTAATTACATATAAAAAGCCTTTTTGCCATCTAAGGTAACAAAACTACAAGCACAACACCAGATGGCAAAGATGAGGGAGGCCAAAATCCTACTTGCCAGTGTCCACCCGCCAGCCCCATGATTCACATCCCTCCCATTTGAAAAATGCATTCACTCCCTTTAAGGTCCCCAAAGATCTCATCATATTAGAGCATCGATTCAAAATCCAAAAACTTCATCTAAATCTCATTAGCTCAAACATTCTAAATCTTATCATCTGAATCATCTAAACAATCTGGCTCTGGATGTAATCCATTTATGATGATGATGGAGCTCTGGGTATAATCCATTCAGTTGACTAAACATATTAGCCCCATCCTTACATACAACACAATAACATATGTGTCATCAGAATGGAGATCCTAAAACCCTCCTTTTGTCTGTGATTAGTCTTCAGTTTAGCTTTAGCCCCTTTCAAATGTTTATTTCAGCCTGGCTGTCATCATCTAGGTCTTGGAAGGTTCTGAAATAAACACATTAACTTATTTAACACAATTTATTTATTCCCTCTTCCTGTCTCACTGAGCTCTTCCTCCTTTTCCCCCTTTATTGGCTCTAGTTAATCACCACTACAGACTCTTTTCTTTAAGCTAGCCAATAGCCTCCCAAATGTGTCTTCAAAAAAGCAGGAAGTGCAAGATAACTGAGTCACATGGTGTCCACAGTGCTTCCTGTGGTAGTATATGATGACTGTGCACCGACATTCACACTGCATTTGCATTCCACACATATATCATTTCTATGTTTCCAGCCACTGAAATGGTTGTTAGCATTGCAAAGGGCCTAAAAGGTTGCTTAGCTCTCAACACAGTTTCAACATGCTTCCTTCTCTGTGGAGCTTGCAGACAGCAGCCTCACCCCTTTGTTCCCCTATGATTATGCCCCTAAGAAAGAATGCACTTAAATTCTGGCCATTAGTTGCATGCTGCTCCGCTGCCATAGATTTCCACCCAACACCAAGTTCCTCAAGAGCCCAGATAATACAAGCTCATGAAAGAATGATGATGAAATATGTATTAATTTACCTCCTTGGATGCTTGGTATTTTATTAATTAACTTACATTGACTATAATTTTAAAGCCAACAATTTTTTAATCGATTTTGCATATTCATGGAGCACAAAGCTGACCATCACACCCGTGCCTAAGATGACCAGATCAATACTATTAGCATGGCCATTACCACAAATTGCAATTATTCCCCATGTCCCCCACCCAAACTCTCTCCAACCTCCCTCTCCTACCCACTTCCATGCCTGGCAACCCTAGGCATGTTCTCTTGCTCTGCAAGTCCAATGCACCACTGTGGTCTTTCTTTCCTTCCTTCTTTCTCTCTTAGCTCCCGCTTATGAGTGAGGATATGTGGTATTTTTCCCTATGTGCCTGAAAGCCAGCATTCTGATATTTCAGACATGTGGACACATGAAACTTATTGGCCAAAATTGATGGGTCAAATCTCTCAGGTAAGAGACCACATATAAATGGAATCACAAAACCATACCCACAAAGAGTCATGTCAAAATGTAGTTTTTAAGCATTGCTCATGAAAATTCAGTATTACACACATTTTTTAAAAAACCTAATATATGGAACAAAAGATAAGCAATCCTATGTTCTTCATTTTCAAATAAAAAAGCCAAATTACATCAAAACATAGAAAAAGAAGTTTAAAAACTCA